GAAAATTTGACTATTGGATAGAACTCTACAAAATACCAGATGCTATGTTTGAGCAGAGCTTTTCTGGGTAAATAAATTACACTTTAAAATACGTACCAAGCCTTAGTAAGGCCACAAGGGTTCTCCAGAAGATATTTCAAAATAAAAGTTCAAAATCTGAGCAGCTTAAGGATTCGAAAACAACTTTCATACACCTACTTAATAAGGATGCAAGTTCAGATTGTCTCAGATGTGGCGGTACTTTTATGTAGTAAGGGTGGGAAGGGGAGTGAAGAAGTGGCAATAGACATTGACCTGGAATTAGAAATGCAGTTAGCAGAACACATTTGGATGGGTAGACTGACTCCAGCTCGTTAACTAGGTCATAGGTATATCCAGGAAAAGCACTCTGCACATAAAACATTGTCAGCCTGAAAGATTTGAAGGTCAATGGCATTGTTGGGGGTTCAACGTTTCCAGCCTAATTCCTTAGGGGCAGGTGATGTTTAAATAGGTAACACTAAGAAAAAGATCCAACAAATCTGAGAGAGTACAACATTACATGAAAAAAGTACACGAAGAATGAAGCAACACATGAAGAAAGCTGTGTTTGATTTCATCTGTTTGTTTTCATACTATTTCTTAGACCTGTGGTGGCCACATGGATTTTGGCCTCCCGGATTGGTGTTGAACTATCCATGAAACTCACTTGAGAACAGGTCTTAATGCAATACTAACAATTGGATGGTATTTCATCACCTCTGTGCCTACTGTTTTGCCTTTTAAAGCAAATAATGCATTCCAATTTAATATGTTTAATAAAAACATAGTCTCAGTGAGTCCTTTTGTGCTTAAACTAAAGGGTTCCCAGTCAGTTTTTTAATCAAGAACCGAACTTAACAGACCTAAGCAATTACGTTTTAAGAAAACACAACTTTGTTCAGTATTTGTTCAGCTGCTTCTTCTCTGAGGGTTTTCTGGTGGACTTTTTTAATGGAGTGTGGACAGAAGTGTTTTTAGATGACTTAATGTGAGGCTTATTCATAGTATTTACTTAGAATTATATGAATGTCAGGGGTGTGGTGGCATTTTCCCATTTGTTCTGTGGTCGTGAAAGATTTAAAATATTTTCTCCTAAGGCATGATAAAATAAATTTTAAACTATCTTATAGACTATGACTCAGGGGTGGGGAACCTGCAGTCTCAGGGCCACATGCGGTCTTCTGGATCCCTGAGTGTGGTCTTTTGACTGAGTCCAAATTTCACAGAACAAATCCTTTGTTCTATGAAGTATGGATGTGGTTGAGGGGCCACCCTTCGACATCCTATGTGTATGTAAGGGTTGTGTGTGTTTGTGTTTAGGCTACTATGGTTACTGCATCATTGCTTGGCTTTCCAAATGGTTAACATTGCCATAAACGACTTTCCAAAAAGTACTGTTTACATTGTGGTGCTGAGTCAGAATTTCTTCTAGCAGGTAATATTTTATTATAGGATTATAAATTATTCTTCAGGGGAAACCACTAGTAATTAATATTCATAATGCATATTCGTACATAATTTCAAGTAAAGAAAATTAGTAGTCAGAATTCCAATACAGTTTTTTTAGATATGGGTTATCAAATACAATTTATCATTTAGTTTGACTTATAAACAAGACAAAAACACTAAATTTCCCCACACTTAAAGACCTACTAAAAGATCGAATCCAAACCAGAATCCCCTATGGAGTATTACCAAAATGAAATTTAAAAATCCAGATTTCTGTGGTATCTAGAATTTTCTTGTATGTTATCTAAGAAGTGGTAATACAGTCCTTTTTATACAAAGATACATTTGTTACATACCATTCCATTGTATCTTACAATGGAATTGTATCATGATACATTTGGCCTCCCAGATTGGTGTTGAACTATCCATGAAACTCACTTGAGAACAGGTCTTAATGCAATACTAACAATTGGACACTATGATACATTTGTTACATACCATTCCATTGTATCATGTTATCTAAGAAGTGGTAATACAGTCCTTTTTATACAAAGATACATTTGTTACATACCATTCCATTGTATCTTACATATGTTTCACAGCAAATTAAACCACTTCTTTTGTAGACTGTGTTGCTGATAGATCCAACAGTGCCATGGAATCTCTGAGCACCCACCTTCCTTATGCTATTTTGTACTTACAGGCAAGGATGAAGTTTGAGTTCTGAATTCACATTTTTATGAACATTCTGAACAATAATTTTTAAACCACACATGGGTATGGTATTTTACCCTGTATGGCTATAAAATTCGACACTTTCACCTTTGGTTGTATTTTTCTACCTTTTTTACCCCTCTTTTTGTTTTTCTTCTGCTATTCCTAGGCAGCGTTCTAGTCATTTCTCCGCAGGTTGGAGTTTGTAATGCGTCTGGTCAGCTTCCTCCCACCCCCAAACATTTTTTACCACCTTGGTTCATTTATTTATTGCTGTGTAATGAACTACCACACTACTTAGCAACTTAAAGCAAAAAAAAAAAAAAAAAAAAAAAGAATGTTATTTTCAGGATTTTGTGGGTTGGCTTCCTCAACTGGGCAGTTCTGCTCCAGGTGGTATTATCTGGAGTCACTCATGCAATCCATTCAGTTAGGAGTTTAGCTGGAGTTGGAGCATGTGTTTTACTCAACATCTGTTGCCTCACTTGGCTGGAATGGTTTAGGGACAGCTAGACCTGTCTCTTTCTGCATGTGGTCTCTCATCATTCAGTAGCCTAGCCTGAGTTTCTTTATATGATGACTGGATCCCAACACAGTAAAAATGAAAGCTGCAAGGTCGCTGAAGGCCTGAGCCAGGAAACCATATAGCAGCTCCCCCCAACTTTCAATTGATCAGAACACATCCCAGATGCAGCTTAGGCTCAAAAGGAGAGAATATAGACATCACCTCTTAATGGTAAAAGTGGCTTGAATGTCCAGAAATGGGTGACTTGTTGGTGGCCATATATGCATACAATCTACCACTCCATATGAAAAAAAAAAAAATGATGCCCAATGGACTATTTTGTTTGAGAGTGGGTGCAATGAAAATTGAAACTTTTAATACATTTTATATTTAACAACATTATGTAATCCCTATACGGTAAATTGTACAGGTTATGGTTTTATATAAAATCTTGTGCCCAATAAAGAGAGAATGAGAGTTCTTTTCAAGTAAACAAAAGAGGTGGGTTTAAAGTTAGGCATGTGGATTTGAATATTGGCTCAGTAGGACTTGGAGTCTACTCCAGGTAGACGTTTAGTCTTTCACTTTCCTCACCTGTATTTATCGGATTGTTGTGAGGATTAAATCAGTCTACATATGTAAAGAGATTAGAAAAGTACCTGGCAAACAGTAAGTATAAAATAAAAGTAGGTTTAAATATATAATCAATCATTGTCTATTGCTATGTAGCACAGGAACACCTTTGGTTTATACCTCCTGAAGCTGCAAGTTCTTTGTAGTCTTATTAAACTTAATCTTTATTCCTGATTACTTCCTCTGCCTCTCCCACTTTCCTGCCAAGTAGAAGTAGGAAGTTACCTTTATTTATAGGTGGATTAACTGATTGATTAACAGGAGTCCTAAAGAAGTGACCTACCGACTTTTAAAAATTTGTAACCCAATATAGTTTACATTGTGACCCAGGATACATAGATACAGAGATATTCAAACACACATACTGCTATGCAAATGTTTCATGAAGAATAGTTAGCTCAAGCTATGCTATGACCTCTGTTTTTGTTGTTCTATTTCAATTGACAATAACAAAATTTTGGTTGTCATTCATTGTTATTAATTATATTGCCTGTCAGGTGGGTCTAAGCCAGTCTTATGGTTGATGGAGAATAGAGTATTAAACACATTACAGTGTAGAGCTGTGAGAATATACCATATGTAATTTCCAATCAGGCCAGCTTGCTTATAGAGCAAAAAACTCTTTCATAAATAGGACCTGACCTCCCTACTCAAGAGGCTTCACAGATTCCTTCAGTGGCACAGAGGGGTGCAAGGGAGGAATGTGTATACTAAATGTTGTGGGTGCTTTGGTCTCGTAATAAAGTGACTTCTTGTTTGTTTGGAGCTACATGGAGCTAGATTTGAATTCTAACCTCACAACTCCCTACTTTGTATTTTTGAAAACGTTATTTAAACTTGAGTTTTGGAGTCTTGGTTTTTTGATTTTTTGTGCATTATTTGATGCAGAAATAATGTCCTCTTTTCTAGTTTCCTCCTCCTACAATGGATTACAAGCCCCTGAATTCAGTTATTATTTCGTTTATGTGTTTTTTATTTTGGGAGGAAATCTAAGCTTTGGCATACTCCCAACTATATAAACAAACCCTGTTCTTTCCCTAATGCAATTTAATTTCTGCAACTATGGATTTTTCCAATATTGTATCTAATAATAGTAATTATTTGGGGATATGGATGTGAATTATGAGATAATTTTGTGTTCTCAAATTTCATATACTAAAATTGGGATTGATGTCCCAGTTATCAATACAATCGTGGGAAAACGTCCTAATAGAAACATTTCTAACCTGTGCTGCTAACAACTGAAAAAAACGAACATGACTTTTACTGGATACTTTCCTCTTTGGATCCTGCATTTAAGGTTACTAGAGCTCAAAAGACCTTTGGCCTGTAGGATTTTCCTAAGGGGTTACTTCCTTCTCTAGCAGGCAAGTACCCAGGTCCTAGGCTGACACAGTCACCATGTTCATTCAAGCTGATGATCTCTAGGATGGGGCTGGTCAGTTTAAAATTTCTGCCTTCGAGGCTGAGATTCTGTGTGTGTCAACGGGGAAAGGAGGCCGTGAAAACATTCCCCCCTTCAGGGGCGCGCCCCAGTCGTGTGCCGCCGCCGCCGCCGCGGCAGCTCCCACGTGGCAGCTTCAGATAGCGCGGCGCGGGGCTGGACCGCAGACCCCTCCCTCGGCTCTCCGGCCCTTCCCTCCGGCTTGCGGGGCGCCCGCTCGGTCCTCCACCGCCAGGGGGCGGGCGCGGCTTCCCGGCGGCGGGGGCTCATTGGTCGCGGCAGGGCAGCGTGGGAGGAGGCCCAGAGGCGAGCTGGCTTTCTCCTGGCCACTCGCCGGGGTGAGGGGAAGCCGGAGGAGCCCGGGAGGAAGCGGAGGCGCGGGCTGGAGGCGGCGGGGCCCGTCGGCCTCCGGCAGGACTGACCGCGGGAGGCCGGAAGGCGGGCGCGCGGCGGAGAGGCGGGAGGGAGGCCGGTGAGATGGACGGGGAGGCGGACGGAGCCGCGGCTGAGGTCGGGGAGGGATGGAGGGAGGCTGGGCGCGGGACGCCC